GGGGGTGGGGGGACCGGGTGAGGGGGGTGTAGGGGGTGAGGAGCCTGGGGTGAGAATGGGGTGTGGGTGGCAAGGAGATTGGGGTGAAGAGGGGTGTGGGGGGTGAGATTGGGGCAAGGGTCAGGTGTGGTGGGCGAGGGTGGGGTGAGGCGTGGTGTGGGGGGCGGAGGAACTGGGGTGGGGGGCATGGGGGGTGATGAGACTGGGGTGAGGACAGAATGTGGGGGGCGAGGAGGCTGGGGTGAGGAGGGGTGTGGGGGGGTGAAGGGACTGGGGTGAGGACAGAATGTGAGGCGTGGGGGGGCTGGGGTGAGGAAGGGTGTGGGGAGCGAGGAGGGGTGTGGGGGGCGGCAAGCGGCCCGCAGCTAGGGGACGGGTGAGGTGGGGATACCGGGTGAGGCGGCGGGCACAGCTCGAGGACATCGTGACCCCGGGGGTCAGGGCGCGCAGGGAGGGCCTGGAACCCGTGGCTGGGCCGGCCTCGCTCACCTCCGGCACAGCCTGCGCTCGCGTGGGGATCCGTGGCCCACCTGTGTGGCGGGCGGCACGCGGCGGGAGCGGGGCACAGCACCCCGCCCCTTTCCGTTACCAGACCCGCCCCCCGGAGATGGCTTCTCGCCCTCATTGGCCAGTCTCCGGGAGCGGAAGGGGCTGGGCCGCAAACACGTGAGTGTGCCGCCCTCTGGCTGGTCCAGAGTCTCGGCCTCGAGGTCTCATTGGCTGGTCTCCAGAGCGCAAGGGGCGGGGTCGCCCCGGCTGGTCTCGCCTGACTGAGCCCTGGCTTGAGGTGGCGGGAGAGCCGAATTGAAGGGAGGTCCACTCGTGGACCTGATCCTTGTGTTCCTCTCCGTGGTTCATGAGTGCAAGGCCATGCACGCAGGGCCCTGTCCTCCTGACCACTGTGTCCCCAGTGTCCAGGACAGCACTCGGCCCAGCAGGTGCTAGTAAGCATTTGTTCAGTTAGCTCTGCCCAGATGTTCTCCGTCTTGACTACGACGTGCTGGCGGACACTGTTACGTCTGTCTCACAGAGCAGGAAGCTGCAGCTCCGGGAGGTGGGGCAGGGACCGGAGTACCTGGGGCTGCGAAGAGTCCCCAGGCGCCGCCGGCCTGCAGGCAGTAGAAGCGCAAATCCCCGAGAGGGGCTGCACGTACCGCGGTGGTCCGGAGGAGACCACAGAGACGGCGCATGCCTCCGCCGGCGGGTGCAAGGCGCTCAGTCTCTAGAGGGCTACGGGCACCTTGGGAGGGCGGGAAGCAGAGGGGCGACACGGTGCCGGGGTCTCTCTGGCTGCCGGAGGGGAGGCGAGCAGGTTGTTCGGCTGAGTGATGTTGGAGATGTGGACCGCCTGCTGGTGGTCGTGCCGGAGGGAAGTACCCAAAGTCAAAGCCATTCAGAGGCCGACTTGACCGGGCTTGGTTATGTGGCCGGTGAGGGAGAAAGGAGTGAGTTGGTGGCCGGAGGGTGATACCACTGGCGGAGATGCAGAGCAGTGGGACAGAAGCCAGTTTGGAAGGTTGGCAACTTCAGTTTTGATTCCACATAAACTGGATTTTCTCTCAGGGATTCTGAGTGTTAGCAGACTGATTGCAGAGTAGGAAACACAGAGTTGAGCCAGACGGTTCTAGGCACAGAGTATCTGCCCATGTATTGAGGCCACGCCCCTTCTGGACCTGGTTCCCTGGCTGTCCGTCCCCACCTGTGAGCCACCCTGCATACTTGTACTCATTCCACCTTTGCTCGGACTGCCCAGAGCTGATTCCTGTTATAGCACCTCAGAAAACCATGAATCAGGAGTAGCTCTGATGGGTAATGAAGGCAGCTTCAGGAAAGACTAGGAGTTTACCAGGATGACAAACAACATAGGATTCCAGGCAAAAGTTTCATCGAAGGCAAAGGCAAGGGCGTGGAAAAGCCTGCTTCCTTTAGGGAATGGAGAATGTGGTTTGGGCTCAGGAGGGGCGGAGGAGACTCAGGTCGTTTGGGCTGGGATGTGAGAGCCTTGGATACCCTGCCTAGCAGATGAGGCGGGCTGTTTGAAGCGCCTCGCAGAGCCCAGGCCAAGGACAGGCTCTCAGGAAGCCTGAGGATGTCAGTCCGGCCTTCCCATGAAACCAGCTAACTGTTCACCAAATGTTTCCTTTATATCCTTGTCACACAGCCAGACTGCGTTTTCCAGCCTCCCTTGCAATATGAGCTCTGGCTAGTGCATGTGGTCAGAAGTGCTCCGTATCACTACCCGGCCAGATCCTCTTGCTCTCTTCCACATATACCTGCTGGATGTTGATGTCCAAGGCAACTTGGGACTGACTTGAGGAAGGCAGGGCTTCTGTTCTGTCAGCCTGCCTTTGAATAATGGTATGAGCAGAGTCTCCCTCTCAGCCAACTGAACAAGAATTAAACTTCTATTGGGTTAAGCCATGATGATGTCAGGATTTGTCTGTTCTGGCTGCCAGCCTTAACTAGTGCAGATCTGCAAACCCCAGGGGTACAAGTAGCTTATTCAGGTTTTTTTTTTTTTAAAGATTTTATTTATTTGACAGAGAGAGACACAGCGAGAGAGGGAACACAAGCAGGGGGAGTGGGAGAGGGAGAAGCAGACTTCCCGCTGAGCAGGGAGCCCAATGTGGGGCTCGATCCCAGCACCCTGGGATCATGGCCTGAGCCGAAGGCAGACGCTTAACGACTGAGCCACCCAGGTGCCCCAGCTTATTCAGGTTTTTGTTTTTTTTTTTTAAAGATTTTATTTATTTATTTCAGAGAGAGAGAATGAGAGAGAGAGAGAGCACGAGAGGGAAGAGGGTCAGAGGGAGAAGCAGACTCCCCGCTGAGCAGGGAGCCCGATGTGGGACTCGATCCCGGGACTCCAGGATCATGACCTGAGCCGAAGGCAGTCGCTTAACCAACTGAGCCACCCAGGCGCCCCTTATTCAGGTTTGATGGGTTGTCGCCAGAGGTTTTTACCTTGGTTTAGCATTATGATTTCTCCTCTTACTTATTTTAACCAAGAACAAATCTGATTGAAAAACAAAAAACAAAAAAAAAAACTTTGGATTTCAACATTAACGAAAAGCCAGCTTTTCGGGAGACTCTGCTCACTGCTCTGCCAGGGTAGGTTAGACAAGTACCCAGAGTGGCAGAGGTCTGTGAAGAGATTTTTGGAAGCCCAAGAAAGCTCTGATATGGAGCGTTAACATTTTGTGAGCTTAGATTTATAAGCTTCTCACTGAGACTCAAAGGTGGTTAGGAGCCTCTGCCCTGGGAATATCTCATGAGCTCTCTTCAAAGCTGCTATCAGGAGCCTACAACTCCTTAGTTTTCAATTTATCTTTTGAGGAGTTTGAGACATTTTCACGAATACTTCCTATAGGCACATCAAACTCAACATTTAAAAATATCATCCAAGCACCCAAAGTAGAAAATGTGAATAATCTTCGATGCCTATCAGGTTTTTTAGACCTACCTTTGACATTCTTGGTGTCCTGAGTCTCCCTTTGGTAGTTTAAGTCCCGCCATTTCTCCCAAACCCCACCCCCCACCACGAGTAGTATGGACAGGTCTCCTTGTTTCTGTCTTCACTGCCCTCTACTTTGTTCTAATGTCATTCTGGTTGGCCAGAATGATCCCATTAAAATTTAGGACAGATTAGATCACCCTCTGCTCATACCTCAATGGTTTCTCCCATCATTCAGAGAAGCCAGAGCCTGGCACATGAGGCCCTTGATGCCCTAATCCACCTGTCCCCTCCTGCTGTCCCCCCACTACCTCCATGCCAGCCACAGCCCTTCTGGTACTGTTCCTGCACTGTAGCCAGCTCCTCTCACCTGGAAGCTCTGGCCCTGGCTGTCCACTCTGCCAGGGATGTGCTGCCCTTGCACCCTCACTTCTTTTGGGTCTGAGTCAGATGGCCCTGCTCAGGAAGGCCTGCCTTCCCAACCCTGTCTGAAATTGCCACCCACCCCTCCATTGCTCCCTCCCCTTACTTTTCCCCTTAGCACTTATTACCATCTGCCTTACTATATAATTTACTCATTCTTCTTGCTTAATGCCTGTCTCCCCACTAGACTCTAAGCCCCAGAGGGAGGGACTGTTTGGGCCAGTTTTATTCACTGCTGTATCTCGGTGCCTAGCACACTATAGCACTCAATAAGTACTAAGTGAATTATTCAAAAAGCCTCCTGGTTTCCATGCCAGCCACTCCATCCCCTGATCCATGCCTGTTTCGCCCAATCATGAATTCCATGTGGCAGATGCCCTGTTCACCACTGAATCCCCAGCACAGAGCCAAGTAGATGGTGGGTGCTCAATCAACAGTGCTTCATAAGAGAAAGCCCAGGACTGTATCGAATTCATTCCTGGGTTCTTAGCAACAAGCAGAGTGCCAAGATCTAGGTTCCTTCTAGCATGCTAACTAGCAATAGTAATTAAGTGCCTACTTATACTTTACATAAACATTTTTTTGTTTACTTTTAATGTTATTTTAATGTAAAAAGTCAACCTGAGGGAAGAAGCATGTGTTGCTCCAGATTATACTGTGTGCCCTCTCACAGACATGACCACCTGGCATGCGGACTATGGCCAGGAGTAGGCCGTGGGCCTCCACAGGGCGGTGCTCCAGCCCAGAGGCGTGCAGAGGGCATGACTGTTCATGGAGACAGCAGCTGGGCCGCACTCTCTGGCAGACAAATAGAAGTGGCCCCAGGGAACAGGTGAAGGTTCTGAAGCAAGAATTTATTCCAAGTGGGTGTGGACAGTGGTGACCTCAGGAAAGACATGCATTTCAAAGTAGGTCACAAGCCTCTCAGTCTCCCAGCCCCATCTCCTCCCCCTGCTACCTCTCTGGTCTGAGTTTGGGCAGGGGAGGGTCTAGTTCCCAAACAAAACAAATGTACCTAAGAGCTAAGAGAGAATTACAGAGGTTTATTTTTATTAGTATCTAGCAAGAAAAAGAATCAAAATTCCCTCCCTGCTCCAACCCCACTTCCACCACCTGGGCCCTCAGGGAGCAGCATCTGCCTGGGGAGTGCCCGCTGCCAGAGCTGTCCTTGGAGCCTGGACACCTGCGCGTGGTCACCCCCGTGCCTGTGAGCCGACCACAGGCCCCTTCCTCCACAATGTGGGCATGAAAGGGCAGCTGGCATTTCTCCAGCCCTCAGCTGTCAGCCTTGGGGACTTGGAAAAGATCAGCGATGTCCAGCAGAGCTTGGCGGATGTGGTTCCCAAAGCGCTGGGCATTCTGTGGGAGCCAAGAGCTCAGACCAACGCTTTAGGTGAGCCCCTGTCCCTCTGTCCCCACAACCAAGGACTCTTCCCCAGCCAGACAGAGCCCCAGGTGGCACCCCCTCCTCAGGCCTGAGCAGGAGCAGGAGACACTCACTGTCTCTGAGCTTGAGAACTTGCTGGAGATGTGGAAGAAGATGGTGTTCTCGCCCGCAATCATGTAGGAAACCCCATAGCCATCATCTGCCACCTGAGGGCAGCACGAACGGTAAAGAAGAAGTAAACCAAACTTTGCAGATCTGAAAGCCAAGCTGATGTCAGGCTTGCTGTTCCCACAAGCTTCCCAGGAAGGGGCCCTACCCCAGATGCTGCATTTTCCCTGAGGTCAGGAACATTTCCAGGCAACAGTGTGAAAACCAAGGGGCTCTGCCCACTGCAGATCCAGACACTACCAGGGATCCAGGATATTGTGTTTCTCTCAGGAGGCTCAAGCTCACTGCCCCTCTCCAGGGAGTGTCTTTAGCTCCTTGAGGCGCCTATCTGGGTTGGTAGCTACCCATTTTGTTTCCACGCAGGGCAAGCCCAGGGCTGTGCTCCCACCCCTGGTCTGACTTCAGGGCTCTGTACTCTCCACTGAGACCCCTGGCGCCCAGTCCTGCTCATCCATCCCCTTTCAAGGGGACTTACCGGGCCAAAGCCACCACCGGCACCCAGGTGATTGGGGTACTTGTCTGGGTCAAACATACGGATCTGGAATTGAGCAATCTGGCTGGTGGAGAGACGCCAGGGTTCTGAGAGCACCTGCAACAGGGACATCAGAGCAGTGAGACACCATGCATGAAATGCCATGCACTCAGCCCTTACCTGCTGACAGGTGGTGCCTGAGCACCAGCATGAGCAGGTGCACAAACTTCTACACTGCTGCCATACGGCCTCCGGTCTGTTCTCACCATGACAGCATCTGCACAAA